CGGCCCCCTCCCCCTTGATCCTTAAAGAATTAGTTCACTTGTTAGATGAAAAAAAATCCTGTGCTGGCAGACGCATTTTAGTATGGTAAAGCATGCTGAATTTTTCTGATTGCTTTAATCAGAAGTTGCAAATTGCCTGAGTATTGTTATGTGAAGTGCCCCTTTCTGATAATATCCAATTGCCTACTTTGGCTGTGCCAAGCAAATACTGGTGTAGTACTGATGTGTTCAAACTTCTTCCTTTAGAAATGTTGAGAGTGGGTATGAGGAGAATATTCTTGCTTTCTGGTAAGGGTAAAATGTTGAATGAAGGTATAGATGTGGCAGTTTCCTTAGCTGGAAAAGCTAAACAATTAAAAATGACTTAAGGCATAAGTGAACTTTAATGCTCCTGTCCCAAGTGAAGAATGGAAGTTAAAATTTGTAATAGTAATGCTATGTATTGCTTACATAACCCTGTGCTATGGCATCACGTTTTTAAAGGAGCCCTAAAAGTCCAGTTTAAATATAGAAAGAATGTGTGTAATGTAAAGTCATTTCCAGTCGCAGGAATTTTAACTTTACTGACCCCAGAGAAAATCAAATTGGTAGTTACTTGTAAAAATGTAAGGAGTAGTAAATCATGTAATTTGGCCTGCAGTTTTCATCTCAGGGCAGACTAACCTGTTTTCGTAAAAGATTAATTCTTTATTAAAAATTATACACTGCATTGCTCAAATTAATAAATATTTAGCATGCCAAACATAACCTGCTTTCTTAAAAAGTTCTAAAAATTAAAATGCATCCAACAACAGCATTTTTTATGTTGCTTAAGCAGTATGGCCAAAATCAGTAAGGATTATGAAAACTGAAAGATGCTTATATGCTTCTTAATGCCCTTACTTTCTTGTAGCTAAATATATTTGCAACACAGGCTTTTTTTCTAACTTTTTTAGCCTTCAGAATGCTTTCAACTTTCTACTAATAATGAGAATTTATTTTTCAGACTTGTTCTCAAACATTTTCATTTCAATTCTGTCATTTTTTTTGGCTTTGTAATAGCTGAGAGCAAAAAGGAATCCCCTGTAGAAACTCAGTCTGATGATGTACTCATTGTTTATGAGTTGAAACCTACCCCTGAACAGAAGGCTCTTGCTGACTCTCTTAAACTCCCTTCAACATTCTTCTGCTACAAGAATAAGGCTGGTTATGTCAGTGAAGAGGATGATGGTAAGGGATCACTTTTTAAAAATTACCTCTGAGTTGAATTTGGGGGAACAATGTTATACCTAGACTCTGACTGATGGAATATCAACAGATGCTTAAAAGGGGAAAGTTAAACTTTAGCCAAAACATTGTTTTTGTTTTGGCTGTTCCCTTTTTAAATATAGAAGCTAGCCAGAATCAGGAACTTTGCAAGTGTAGCGAGCACAGTGCCTGTGACGAATTAGCTAGAGCTGTAAGTTCACAGAGGATGTCTGAACTGATGGACTTTCTTGACTTCTTTAAGATGAAGACTATGACACAGCTGTTAAGAAACTGAATGGAAAGTTATATGCTGATGATCCAGAGAAATGTACATCTTCACAAGATCCAGTAAAAGGTAAATCTTGAAACAACTGTCAACTACCTTTCTGAACTTGCTTAACATTGGTGGTGGTCTAGGACTCCCAGGCTTTCTACAGGGAAGGCATACAGCTCTAGGTCTCCAGCCATGCAGCACTCAGCATGCTAGGGCTGTGGTCGAAAGTAACGTGTCAGGCAATTTCCAGAACCCAGAGCAATTTTCTCTGCTCAATCAGCAGTCTGTTAAATTGGACTTAGTTCTACAATGACATGAGGAAGGGCATATTATCCCTGAAGTCTTATCTGACACCTCTCTGTTTACATTTGATGGTTTAATAAGATATATTATCAAGGAAATCCTACATCCTACATGCATAGTTCTTGGGCCATCGTGGCTACAACAATGCCACTACTTAAGTTTTACAAAATACTTCTGTTCTTAACTGACTTTCTTCAGAAATTCTTGACTGCATGACATACCTCTATAAGCAAAAGTATATTGGCATGTTCCTGTTGGTCTGTGGTCATTGGATGTTCTTGTTGTGATCTGTAGTGAACAAGATTTAGCAATATCAGTATCTAAACTACTGTGTCCAAGTGTTGAAGCTGAAACTAAGAATTGCACCTGAATAACCATTCTTTATTATTGACACCAGGTTGTCCTTTCTAGAATGAAGGTAAGCTCATGCTGGATCCCTTTTAAAAACCCTGTTTCTTTGAGAAAATTTGAATGAGATGGGGTGGGGAAAAAACAGGAACAGGTTTGAAGATTTGGGCTTTACCACATCTTGGATGGTTATTTGAGGGATTAAGTGGCAGAAGGAGAAAAGCTTTATATTTAATATATTTTAATACATAACCTGTTGCTTTTGCTTTCTTGGATATAAATGTTATTGTCTTTCACATACCTAAATGAAAGAGTGGAAAAGGCCAATGCAATATACTCTCTTGATGCTTCCAACTTTAAATGTTTAAAACTAAAAATTTTGAGGGAGCTAGTCAGATCTGAAAAATTAGTGGCTATTAGCTTCAGATACCCATGAAACACATTCCAGTTTGAGCTTACACATTTAGTATATTTTATGAAAAGGTAAGTTAATGATTTAAAACCTAGCCTTGTTATAAAGGCTAGAGACAGTTTCTACAAAAACATTGATAGAAGACTGTTGGCATACACTTCTATTTGGATTTACGTTCTCCCAACCTGATCTTAGACACTGACTGAGATG